TGTATTTGCGCGCTAATTTATTATCTTGCCTCCAATGCGCAGATACCTAACTCACCTCCACAAATCATCGATGAACCAAACTGTGGCACCTACAACCACTGTACGACAAGTACGCAGTTATTATAGCTTACGATGAGGACTGACTGACTGACCGTGGGATGTACTTGTGCAGTTGAAGCAGTTGAATGAAATCAGAACCTGTTGCATTATTCCAAGCCGGTAATAAGCGAATGACTATTGTGAATGACGACTCTATTCCGGAGTACGTAGTACACTCATAAAAGAGTGCCTGATGACCCGAAATGGGCATTATGATATAATCGGTAAAGTTTTTTCTTCATACAAGTACCCACCACTGATGGAGCTCTGAAGAGTGTCTATACTTCCATCACAGGACAAACTTTTAACAGGGAAAAGAACCTCGCTCAATGATGCAATATTTCTATTCAAACTGATGAATGGGGCTTGTACAAATGAGGAAACTTATTTTAAGCCAGTATGGCAACCCAACCGTTGTCTGGTGTAGGTATTTGTATAAATATGACTTGGTGTTCGCGTGCTTTGCCAGTGGCAGAATGCTGAAGATCGTTAAGTGAGCTAAGTGCATTAACGTCACTCCGTATATCCTACTTCCCGAAGATTATGGTCCCACTCATACTGAAACGTCTCAAATTGGAGAGAGCCCCCAGATCGTTATGATCTAGGTCGCGTGTTTTTCAGACAAAACGCGTATTTCCTGACTAATAAAATCCCCCATAACGGGGATGGTCTGCTGCAACTCAAAAGGAAACATTTTTTATGCGTACCAAAAGATTGATAGATGGTTCCAGCGGAAGAAATTGTGAGAAGGGGCAGTGCATGTAAAAGCGTGGACGAGAGTTTACTGGAAAGCCGCTTTAATGAGAAAACTCAGTACTGCCTAAAGGTTTAGTAATTTCTAGCCCTCTGCCTTTGCCTGTTTAGGGAAGAAATAGGAGTAAAATTAATTTATGTGGATCCAAATGTCTTATTGACTTAGGTCTGGAGCTCTTCGATTGAATAGTTTTCGTAGGATAGTGAGGTTCAAAATAAGGGAGTAAAATAATTTATGTGGATCCAAATGTCTTATTGACTTAGGTCTGGAGCTCTTCGATTGAATAGTTTTCGTAGGATAGTGAGGTTCAAAATAAGAAGCTAAGTTGACAGGTGCTTGCTAAGTAAAGGTTGTTATTTTTGGTAAAATGCGCATTATCACCAGATTCAACTCTTCTCAGAGCGAAGAGTAGCAAATGTGATTGTAATTTCCTCCGTTTTAGATGATAGTCCTTTGCAATTTGTGTACGGCAATTTTTCTAATGCTTGTGTGAGTCATATTTGGTCTGATAACACATCCTTAAACTTTGTCTGGCTAAATATATGCATAACCTTTAGTTCGAAGGGGCGTGCTATAAAATACATGCCTCCAAAGCATGTATTCAGCCCTCTGTCAAAGTAACCAACGGACTTCCATAACGTAATTCACGTTCAAAGAGCTTTTGAGGCGAAAGTGATCCTGATGAATAAACTTACTGACCTCTTCGTACCTTTGTCTCGTACTGTAGCAAAATCAGTCAGCGTTCTAGAAATAAGTGAAATTCTGTTGAAATAAAGTTCTGCATCATAACCAAGTACGGAATCAACTGCGTAAACTTCAAAGAAACACGCTTTCTGGCACGCATTTCTCAAGAACCGCTTGATCAAGCTGTTTGAACTATTGGCTTATGCTGATGGTCATTTCTTCTCTTAATATTCCGACATGAGGTCGCAAACGTCGTATGCTTATTCAGAATAACCTATGCAGCACACTGTCATCAAGATGTCCGAAAGGATTGTTGACCTACGCTGAGTTGAACCTGGAATACTTTATCCGTGGTCGTTGGTTTGTTCGCTGAGCTGGGCAAATCGATTGCAAACGTTTCATCACCGATTGAGGTGACATCATCAGTGCGTTGTTAGCGTGTGTAGTGGAGCGTAGATTTGGGTCGGCGGTTGCGTGTGTTAAATTACGTGCTGCCAGCTGGGGTTAGACATCAATCACGGTGGTTGTTTTGTCGGGCAGTTCCTGTGGGTGCTCTGTTGTCCTGTGTCTTGATTGGTCGATGACTACATGAACTTTGAGCTTGGCCTCCACGCCCTCGTACTCTGATCGGTGCTGCACTGACCTCTGTCCTTGATCTCTTTGGGTTCAGGTTTGTGATTTTCATTGATCTGACTCCAAGGAGTTTCTTGTTTTGTTAATCCGATTTTCAGCTCTCATTGAATATTCCGGTTGAGATGTGGGTCGTTTGAACGTTGTGGTAGGTAATTTGGACCTAGTTCAGCTCTTCGGTTGATCGAATCAGCCGTAGAGTATCAGGCTTCCAGAAAGTTTCTTCCGTGTGTTAATATGCCAAGATTTTGGCGTTATGCAGATTCTGACTCCAATTTCTTGTTTTGTTAATCCGATTTTCAGCTCTCATTGAATATTCCGGTTGAGATGTGGGTCGTTTGAACGTTGTGGTAGGTAATTTGGACCTAGTTCAGCTCTTCGGTTGATCGAATCAGCCGTAGAGTATCAGGCTTCCAGAAAGTTTCTTCCGTGTGTTAATATGCCAAGATTTTGGCGTTATGCAGATTGAATATGTGACCTTCTTGGTGTTCATGTATGGATATCACGGATGGAGTATGATGTATCTTGACGGCCGCGTTGTGGTCCTTCCTATCTCGATTATTCCAGTAGCGGAGTAATTGGACCTTCTGTTTCCAAATTCGGGGAATTCGAGGCTACAACCCAACTACTTTGATGCTCTGCTCTGAAACAACGTGATGTATGAACTAGACAGTCAGTGTTTTCCGTTGAAAATGTGAACGATGCAGATTCGAAGTAACACAATCTAGCGAAAATGAACTCAGCGTGCTGGTCAGAATGATTATTTGCCCTCATGCTTATTGTTGCGTATAGGATTCCCAAAATTAGCAATGTCAAGCAGGTTTTACTTCTAGCACCTCTCACTGAGAAATCTTTAAACAATTTGTGCATCCTACTAAAGGGACTCCAATTTCAAACAAATTCAGTTGATTCCAATTAACCCCAAATTCGCAAAACCTGAGAATCACAAAATATCTCTTTATGGGTGGAATGCGTTTTCACGAACGGCCAGTTCAAGTATAAGTAACTGATGCACTGGACAGGTCGTTTATGCAAGAGTGACTTGGAGTTGTGTGCTAGTAAATTTTTGTGCACTGAGTTTGCTACGGGTTGTCCAATGTGGAACGACTACATCTAGGAGTGCACATTGATATCCTTAAATTTACCAGAACCCTTGGCAAAACGGATATTAAAAAGGTTCCTATGATTGTATGACCTCCTAATAAAGATTAATTGTTTTTACGAAGAGCTTAGTGGGTTGGCAATATCTGGCCACGATGTTTAGAATTCCTGAGGCCACCCAAACTAGGCTAGAAAGGTGCTTAGGACGATTTGTAGAGTCATCAGGTTCGCAAAAGTTATTTTATATATGAGGTACGCATTGGTATAGATATGTTGGTCAACGTAGTCAATAAACTGGCAATATGCATGTCTCAACGAAATGCAGTCCAAAGGAGATCACCTAGCCACAGCCATACGGCACAAATTACATGACGTACTGGGTTTTACCTACCCAGCTGCTTAACTAATACTACTGTCACCAACAAGGCAAGTCATTTTCCCATGTGCGCTGCGCACTGCACATAATCTGTCTGCCTCAAATGTTCTGTACCAGTTCACAAGCATTTGCACACAGTTACAACGCTTCTCAGAACATTCACCTCATTATTTGAATCAAGTGACCAACTGACATCCCCATGACCTGCAATCTGACACTCGAGAACCCGCCACATTCACTGGACGCAGAATTGAGTTCAGAGTTTTATTGCTAATTTCAACTCGAAATTATAAGGTTTACGTGATGACATGCTGATCAATCAGTATCGGCCAGTTGTGCGCGCCGAGGACTCTGATATCATAAGATCGGCTCCGTTTCATTGTTTTGTCGCTGCTTATTTCTTATTATGATGTAAAATTGAGGGGTATTAGTAAAATCCAAAAGCAAAGTGCTAGCACCCCACGGTCTGTCTTCTTGTTGTATTATTCAAATGGTATGTAGCGCTAAAAATGTTTCAAAAACCAGCGTTTCCATTCTCAAGACAGTAGATCGTTCATGATTTTTTTTCGGTTAACAAGTGAATCTGTCACGGGGTAAGACTGCTAGACAGTGTTTGGTATACTTTCATAGATCCGCAAAATGTCTGTTGAAAAATACTTTGAATTACGGCCATTTCAGTACACCGGCCTTTGTTGCAGCATTGTAGTTTAAAGATGTTGGTAGCATAGTTATAGAGGACAACCTTGGAGTTACTTCGGTAAGCACTCGTAAGTGACAAATGACGATACCATCGCGCTGTCGCGTGTAATGACCCTAGCATATATATCCGTTTTCCCAAGGTTAAAAGCGCACTTGTCTTCCGCCCTCACATACCGAATGCGCGCTCGGAGAGAACATCTTCCAACTGTGTGGCGTTGGCTTGGAAGGGTCGAATTTCTAGGGGATAAATGTCGCTTTAACTGACTGTTTCAGACATGCAACGGTGCAATGTCTTTAGCCTCGTGTATGCTCTTTAACCAGATGCGTTCAGAGTAGGGGAAAATTAAGCTATATAATCTAGCTACTTAAACACCTGTTGGTAGTATAAGAGATGTAGCTGTCCACGACTCATCTTGTGGTGTGATCGGAACAAATGTTGACAATCTGTCGATCGATCGAGTCGACATCTAAGTTTTATTTTGGTCCACACAACGTTGATTGCAACTCGGAACAGAACGACAGTATTCGCATTGGAAGCTGCTTATATGGGACATTTCACTAGACATAGCCAAAGCTTTGCTCAGCCCAATGTTAGGAAAGCTATGAAATTATTGGTATGGGTGATGTAAGTAATAGAATAATCAATCAACATATAAAGTAATCTGTGTACATATAACTCGTCGAAAATGAAAAAATCTTCGTCCGTGTGTATTTGGTGGTTTTGATGAGTGCTGATACTTGGTGTATGTGTGTATATGATAGGCTATCTGTTTCATCATTCTCGATGGTTTGGTCTGTCCACCTACGAACATGTATAGAAAAGAAGCTCCGGTAGAAATCCTCGGTCGACTTCCCCATGTTCCTGCCCATCAGGCGTTTCCCAAAAATGGAACAAAAATTCTTCGGAATCCCCGTCTTGATTTGCTGAAGCGCTCGGCTTCAAACGGTATGGACGTTTTGCATGAGATGATGTACGCTGTGAACATCGCTTAGGACCTGTAACTCCGTCCGTGACACCACCACGATACGAGATTCGCTTTGTGTTTGAAGTAGATGTGTTCTTTTCCCGAGGATGATCGTTTTGGCCACAAAGTACCCGGACCTCAGGGCGACCGAAGAAACCGATATAGAATGTTGACGAGTTTAAAGTGGCTAGAGTGGCACCTGAAACGGACTTGGGTCTGTCACACTGGAATGTCTGGACACTCAGCAGGTAACGCTGATATGCGAGAATCTGAAGTACAGTGAATTAAAACATGCCGTTACAGAAGGCTTATTCAGCTCAATTAGCTGTTATCTGAAAGGTTTGTATGAGTAAACAACAATGAAGAGGCCTAACAAGCACGAGAAAACTCACGGATGCAAACATCGTGTTGAATGTTGTACATAAGAATAAGCAAGTGGAGTAACCGATCCATTTCCTAGTGCAATTGTGCCAAAACTTGGCCTAATCTTCCTGGTCATGGCTCTCGAAAACAACCGAGAACAACGCCAGAATGAGTATGTACATCCGATGAATCAGACACCATGGAAACATCACATAACAAGATTACAACTGCGAATTGACTGTAGGGTAAGAAGGGGGTTTCTTGTTGGAACGAACACATTCAAAGTTGTGTGGCATCTAATGTTAGGTGAATGGCAAAAGAAAAAGACAACATTTTGCTACAAGCGTACGTAAATTAAATATATCGGAGTACCGCTTTGGCCTCATAGCGGACCGCTTACGTAGACGGCTGTCTAGCTTTGGAATTACACTTAGTTAAAAATAACTCAGATGTGTTTTTACAAGCTTCCTTAGTCAAAATATGCCGAGTCTATTTCCTAAAAGTGAAAAATGGGCTCCTTGAGACTAGAAAAATTCTCGGTTCAATAGAAGCTTACTGTAAATTTAGTGAACGCCTGCATTCCGATCTCTGGCTGTGAGATGTGAGATGTGACTTACACACTTTATCCATGAAATCTATTAAAATGTCGCCTTATTACCACGCACTCACCAGGATTACTGGTTGGATTTATCATTCATAAGCTTTTAAATTTGTGCGGTCAATTTAGTGACTGCACTCTACGGCGATTTTGGCATTGGTTTTGAACACCAATATTGACTGGTAGAAATACTTGTGTGAAATATTCCGGCGGCTCATCGGGTGACCTTACCCCCAATACACTTCACAACAAAAACTGACCTTTGCACTTACTGACTGACCTTTTGTACTTATTCGTTTGTGTTCAACAGACACAATTTGCAATTCACGCAGTGTGTTGGTGATAATGGATTGCCCGGAAGCATAAAGTTGTCAGAAATCTAATGTTCCGTTTCACGAACAATCTATTTTTATTGCACACATACTCAAAGGGCACGGTGTCATTTGAGTAACGTTATGTTCTACTTCTAGAATCCATTAGAGCAGAAAACTATTTCATGAGAGTTCCTTGATCAGATGACTCCAGCAACAAAAGAATGTAGGTACATAAACACCAGAAGAAACTAGCCCTTGGAAACATACTACTACAGCACAAGCATTTGGACCAGTGTGCTGCAGGCCCGATATGAAATTAAAGTAAAGTACACCATCTAATCACATCGAGCCGCATTCTCCAGAAGTCAGTGAAATAACTTTGGCAGAGTTTGTGAAAGAGTCGGGTTGCCTTGAAACAGTCCTGGAAGAACAGACCCGATGGGAAAATGTTGCTGGGTAAATAGAGGACACTAAAGATGGTGATTGCATATTCTTATCAGCATCTGCACCAATGGAAATCATCTTCAATAATTTTCGATAGAAATATATGTCACCTGGCGAATAGTCGTTATGCGGGACTTCATTCAGAGCGTCCATCTGCAGCTTTTATTCCCACTCGGGTAGCATTAATTGCCATCAGGTGGAATCCAGATGGCATCATACTTCACTGAAAATGGCATTATCTTTACCCCTCTGAAGAAACGAGTTTTCCCCGATAACTTTTTCTAAGGCAGTTCCCATGCAAAGTAAACCAGCGAAACATGGTGAATTCCTCTTATACCAATCAACCCTCAGCGATTGACTTTGGTAGGACCCAATAGGATCTTATGCTACTACACCTTTGAAGCAAGCGACAGAATCAAACGAAGTCCCTTGAATAAAACACATCCACAGTAGTGATTTCTATCAGTGGTAGTGTGTTAGTAACATAAATTGGAACACTTACATTTAGGAAGCCACTCCAGTGGCAGTAAGCATTGTACAACACTACTACTCATTGATAAACAACAATGAATAAGGTTGTTTCATGTCATGAATCATCAGATCCAGCCCTTTTCTCATACAATTCCTTCGTTTGAGCACACTGTTAAACCACTTCATATGATTATCAATGACACATTTACTACTACCTAGCTCCGAGATTTCCCGCGTTCCATACATTACCATTCCAGTTGGGATGAGCGTGTCACAGGTTTCAACCTGTACTAGATTAGGGTGATGACGATCGAGTCCCTAGTTGACCAAGAGTGTTCATTCGAATCACTTCCTTGAGGTTAATTCTCCTGACACGAACTAATTTCTCTGGGGTCACGTCAGACATAAAGACGGAAACAAACTAATTCATGTTTAGCCTGTTGTCCCAAGTTTCCAAAGATGGAGCCAGGCTACTAAACTTTTAGAGCGAAATGATATTCAAATATTAAGATCGTTATAGGCAAGCAAATTGAGTGAACGTGAACGAATTCTAGGCAGGTATCTCATCATGTTATGAAACCAGTGTCAAACTTCGAGTAGTGCGTCCGTTTCAGTGAGAAAGCATTTTATGCGCAAAAAATTACGTTATTGTGGATAATTTACAAAGAGAAAGCTTATGGTCATTAGGAGGGGATGTCAGGCTAAACCAAGGTTAAGAGAGCCTTCGAATATCACCCAATAGTCGTGCGTCAGTTCGATTAGTCGGGCACAGTTCACCGAACGTCATGATTTTGGAATCTTAAAATCTGTAGCAGTATATCCCTTACACATGCACGGTAAATATACCTCATAAGCGGACTAACCCAACATGCACAGTCCAGATGAAAGTATACCCGTATATTGGTAGTGTCAGATTATTGATGGCTCAGGTGTATTCATTGGTAATTGATAAGGTGGTTGTTGATATTTCCGCCGAGCCTGGCAACTGACTTGCAGACGTCTCGTCACCATTTAAGGAGGCTGCGCTGTTGCGTGGGTGATGATGTCTCGGGTGGTGACGAAACGTCTGCAAGTCAGGTATTCAATATCTCACCGACAGCCTTCTTTTCTAAAAGTATGCACCGATGATTTTCATATATCCTTGGCGTGTGATTTCTGGCGTGATCTAGATTGCTGGTGTAATAGCCAAGAGGACCAGTAAGAGGAAACAAGAATTGTTCTCTACCTTCATTCTTTTGATATCTACAAGCTTGACACACACAAACTCAACAGATCTAGAGAAAATCAGTGGGGTTCCAGAACAGGTCATTACTTCATTTAATGTGGGTGTCAACTTTCCGTTAAAGCCATAGCTGAAACGCGGTCGTCATGGGCAGCGACACATTGCTGTACAAATCTACATTTTGTGGTATACTGCACCCAAATGCTCAGTAAGTTTATGAAACCCTATTCAGAGTTTGCAACTGACTGCTTTGCCGTTGGGGCCATTCGGAAAAGAAGCCCACAGCACCTCCCATCGAGATATCCATTGTTCCAGAACATAGCCTCAAGAAAGCTGTTGTATATCTCTGATCTTCTGAATCAGAAAACAGAAAACAGAATGTCCCTGGTCCCGTTGGTAGATCGAATTCCGCATAGAACTCTAGTAGAGGGAGTCACCGTCTGGTTACCGCCCTCTAGAAAAGTTAATCGTAGACATCTCCTGGATAAACGTTTTCTATAATAATGGAAAAGCTCAGACCGGACATCGTCCAATAACGCGAAAAAAACAGTAGATGGATAGGACCCAGTTCAATGTCTTGACAAGGGGATCAAGTTTAAAAACTGATAGGTAGAGTAAAAATAGACAAAGTTCACTTGGCGAGTTGTGTCCATTGTTGTCCCAAAAAACATTTTCCGACCTTGACAACTAAATGATGAAGAGGACAAAGGATGCTAGATAGAATTTAAAACAACAGACAACAAAGTGAACCAGAAAACCCCCGTGGGCCCCACAGCTCATGTTCTCAGGGATCTATAGAAAGGAGATATGGGGAGAGGGGGCGACAGACCCAATAACCCTACATAACTACGGAGAGATTCGATCAAAATCATTGTCTCGATAATGGAATGATTGGTGTCGATCAGCTAGTGATAGAGACTATACAAATTTCGTGATACTCTATTCATTATAACTTGGCAGTGGAATATTCTTTTGGCCCCTTGGACCCAAAGCTTACGCAGTGTTCATCAGCCCTGACAATTTGTGGTTAACGTGCCATTGCAAAACTATAAGTAGCATGGTGCAAATTCGCGAATTTTGAGCTTCAGCAAATTGATCAAAAGCTTTCGGACGCAGTGCTGAGCAAACTGTGTGTACATAGACTCTAGACAGTGTGGTCTTCTGAGAAATTCAGTTAGTCATCTGATCACGAAACAACCAAAATGCGGCTGGCAGGTACTGAGAATACAGAGGAGACAAATAAGTGTAAAGCTCTTATAAAAGAACAGCTAAGTCAAACACGCTGATTCACAACACAGTAGTCATCAGAACCAATTTCTCATGGAGGCATGAAACAGAATCGGTTCTATGGACTGAAAACATATCGGCCTAACACCACCACAAATTTACGCCTCATGTTTCTGGGGTCATGCTCAAGTAGTCCAAGTTGCTTGCCTATAAGAAACACTTTTACATTCAAACACAATCCTGAAGACCCGTTAAAATTTTGGCGTCTTCTTCGAGTTACAGATGACTGTTGTACACTTATTAAATTTAAAAAATGACGACCGGTTTCGCCCTTCTTGGAGCGAAGAGTTTTCAGCAACCTTGTGAGTAGTTTCCTCTGTGAAAATATACTGCGATATCTTGAATATCGTGCCAACTGAATCATGAGGCGGCCTGTGTGCAGCACATTCAGCTGGAGGACATCATAAACGAGAGATTCAATTGAGTCTCCCGTGAAAACCAAATTGATTTGCAAATGAGCGTATTTCTCGAAGACTTAGGAAATTGTTCACCTCGACGTATACCGAATTGCAGTGTCATTGCAGTGTCAAATGCTCTTTACGTTGATAGCTATGGTAGCGGCGGTGTACGTTTTGTGCATCGACTGAGAATCATTCCAAACAAAGGCTTTTAACTTTTTTTTCTTACCAACAGTGAAGCGAATCGACGATCAATCGATAAGTGTGTGCGTATGAGCATGTAACCACAGGTTTTCTGAAAGCCAAATATGCAAATCTTCGAAAACTTAGGTCGTATAAGACATCAACCGGAAATCCAGAAAATCAATTAACAATTTTGACACTTGTTTTGGATTATGGTTGATTTCTGCCGTGGATCCTTCGGAACGTGAAAGTCGCTAGAAAATAGCGGAACCAACTTACTTTCACCGGACAAGGAAACGTCACATCATACACGCGAGTAGACCCATCTGATACGATTTGGATGTTTGCCACGGCTTGAATATCCTCATCTGATGTTTTCTTTTTCCTTTTAACCATTCGCGTTAGATTCCGGTTGACTTCACCCGACATCGTCAGAACGGTCGGTTCAGGATTCTGACTGCTCACCCGACGGCTGATCACGTGTGGCCGACCTGTCCAGTCATATCGGGCTACCTCCAACAGACTACTGGAACGAGGTAGTGCCTGGTGTCTCCTAGTCTGTGTGTCAGCCGTTGAATCGACAGATCCATGAAACTGGGTGCCAACGGAGGAGCACCCTCTGTTGTTTGTGGTAGCTCGAGGAACAATGTGTTTGAGTTCCACAGTTACATTGAGACGCTCACCAACCTGAGTTGACCCGTAGACTCCAATGCCAGAAAGAAATATGGGTGCTGAGACCTGCAAATGTAAACGAAATGGCATGCTGAATTGAGATCACGCACAACAAACTAGTATTTTTCTATTCAACAGCCAGAGAGGCCAATAAAACCATGGTTTGGTGGTAAAATTGTGCTTATTCCAACGGTTATCTTGTGTTAACTGATAGATCATCCGCGAAAATGCGCATAAGTAAAATGAACTATCCCCAAGATCTACTTTATTTTTGGCACATCAAGACGAAGAGTCCGTAATTTTTGTGACCCCACCAGTTAAACAGATGTTATTCGTAAATCCGAGTGTGTGAGCGCAATCGTACGAAGGGTGTTACCCAGAATAACTGGGGTAAGATAATCACGGTCGATGGACAAAAAGGATTCGATAAAGCTGAACCTTAAAAACCCTCCAAATGCTTAGCTACACAAGAATCTGGCTTGATGATATATGGCATATGTCGGCCTGTAGCCCTAGCGAATTATTTTTTTTTCATTTGAGACTGACTAGACAGCAACGGCTTATAGGAGGACTATGCGAACCACGCAGAACCATTCGATGGCTCAGCATTCGTAACCTTGCTCCGAATGCAAAAGTTGCACTGTTCCGGTAGACTTTTGTTGCTTAATACCGTATATTCAGTACCTTCATCAGGATAGATCAACACAGACAAAACATTTGGTCTCTCTTCCTGCGAACCTAGTTAACCGAAGTGCTGTGGTCTGCTCTCTAAAGGAGTTGCTTCATGCAGGTTTAGTTGCTATAGATGGGAACTCCTGTGTTATATAAGTAACTCTAAAGTGGTGAGTCAAACCAATTAGAGGGCGAAGCATCTATTTTCACTTTGCATCTTACATAAATTTCGACGGGTCTTTAAATAAATGCTCTTCCCTTAGCCTGATAGTCGAGACGAATCAATACTTCATCTCCGTAAAAGTCTAAAAATCATGTGGACCCAGCCAAATTGCTGGGCCGTCCATATTTAGAAGAGATCAAAAACTTCGTTGCGTAGTGACACAAACGCTTTAAAGCGGTCCACAGCGAAAGAAGGCTGCCATGTAGATGGATATCTGTGTGAAGTACACAGGCTATGGGACTGTTCCAACTGTAGTGGATTTTGTTGGCGAGTCTTTCCATGCGAGTTGTCTTCTGCATGGACGTAACCGTGTATTGTATTTCATCAATTAACTGTGGTCATGTGATAGACCGACACCTTAGAACAAGAAAGGAATTCGACACCACATGCCTGGTCTCTTCGGTTACAGCGCACACACATGGGATGGAAACACAGAACCTAATTCATTACACACGGAGTGCACACGTCCTCAAGTGAAATACATTTTTGCCAATGATCGATATATGCGTCCCCTTCGTGGACACCGGAAAACAATGGGCCAACGCAAATTAAATAATTGTGTAAAAGTAGAAACGTCTTCAATATTACTTATGTGCTTACTGAAAGCTCTGGACGGCCAAGTATCTCTTTCACTATTCTTGGGACTCATTTAGTAAACCCAATCCTAAAAGTCTCACCAGCCTTATTATCTAACATCAAATTTTACGTGTGCTGCAAAACACACTCGTTGGCAAATTAACTTGATGTTGACGAAAGACTGAGTTGAATTTCACCCGAACCTATTGTTCATGAGTAGAGGGATGCTGAAAACACTTTTACAAACACATTTATGAGAGCCCCGATTTCAGCTGTTCATCAAGGCCTCGTGGTGCTCCAGTACCGTCAGCGTGACTCGTAAACGCCGAAAATGCTCCAAACCTCAACCTTGAGCTCAAAAGAACTGTTCGCCGTCCATACCGTGAGAGGAACACTACCTATTCACGTTAGCCACAATGGTCGCCAAAGATAGGATTGGTAGGTACAAACCAGGGGCTGATTGGTAGCGAAGTGTTAATGACAGACAAAGCTGGTAGTGGAACATTCCCTGTAATCAGTTAGTTCCTAAGCATACCCAATTCTGGTGCATAATCTGGCTAAGTCAATGCACTTATTCTATCTGAACAGTACCATCAAGCTGTTCTAAAAATGGACTTAGTTCTTTCGACTGAAGACAGTGGATCAAGCCTAGTGGGGTTCTACGTAGCTTCCAAAGCGGCAATTCGTTTGTCGTACAACAACGTTGACCGCGGTTTGGAAAGACCGATTACTTTTGCAGGTCGTGTAAACGTGCCAGTCGATAGAAACTTCTGAGAACATTAATTAAGATCTCATTTGAAGGAGACAGAAAATCGCGAGCATCTTTGGTGTACCTAATCAAGAGAAGAAACACTCACACCTAATCACAATCAACTCATATAAATGCTAGAATGGATATTCTTAGTCCTAACCGGTTTAATGTGCCCTTTCCGAGTCAGTTTGTGAGTAAAATTGGTCATATTGGTCATGCCACAAGCAAACTGGGAAGACTGTGCGGCACACAAGTTCACCGTGTGGAATACCACTCAGACTTTCACAGTTAAGGACGGACTGAAAGTAAAACCGTTTGCATTGGTTTCAGGATAACGATATCCACATGCGTATCTGTAATTCAGCACTCCTCATGGCTAACGGTCAAGTTTTCAAACTACTAGTCGGGAGGCCGCGGGTTCGGAGCTTCGTGAGGTGCAGACTACCGATAGTACCCAATGAGGATATACCAGTTGTACAGTGCTTCTCTTTTCAAGTACATATTGGCTTCGCTGACAGGTTGAAATCTCAAATGATTTGATTTGATCAGGAATTTGACAAGGAAGAAAGGTTGAACACAATGGAAATACCTTTTAAAGGTGTCGAAGGTAGATACTAACACAAAAAGAATGTCACATCACTTATTATTTTTGATGAATACGTACATGAAGTTACCTAAGGGATTCTCAGTGTCCCGTCATACCCTTCAACTTACATAACAGACGTGACGAGAAACGGCGTATATATGAAATAACAAGAAACTCTAAAATACTCACGAAAGCTTATGAGCCACTTCAAGTGAGTTGGAAGGCAAGGTCATGCCGAATGGACAGAAAGTATTGCAGTGAAAATCAGAAACCGGATTACAATCGGCACTTATATAAGGAACTTCTATAACATGAGTCAGGATACCTAAAACACCGTAAAAGTTCAAAATGCTTTGTAAGGTTCAGCTTGCGGCTGGAGTTGGCAAAGTGAGACCCTAATAGCATTCGTGATGTCACAGATCCCCTTAGTTTAATTTAACACTCATGTAATCTCATTTAATAGCTGGATTGTTTGTTGCGCTCAAACTTCTTGAGAATAACTCTTGGAAATACCTGAAGGCCACCAAGGTTTTGTTAAGCAAGTGAAGAAAGTGATTGCAGAGAGTTCAGTTTAATCATGCTTCCAAGAGGAAACCGGTATTCCGTTGCATAGACCTATGTGGGTATCGAGGTTCCAGCTATACACTGGTTGTAGGAGCCACATTACTGTCAATAAATTATAGGGTTACCGGGCTATAAGTGGTAGCCAAGTGGACCAAGTGGTAGTCTCCCTATCTCGTGATAAATTGTGCTTAGTGTGCACAATATGCAACACAGAGATATAGAACTTTGAATCCACTGCCAGATCTTCAATTTTATTGAAAAAATTGTGCCTTACATGAGTACCGCGGATCTCTTTCACAAACTAGAACAAAAGTACAAGCTACTTTGTGATGAAGGAAACAAGAGGATGAAATTTCAAGGTTCCCATCTGCGTTCCTCCGTATCCATGTTTTTTTTCAAGCCATGTGGGATTTCTATCGATATCCCTTCTCCTGTTGTTCAAATAATCCAGGAATTTCGGCGTACGCAGGACGGTTTGTTGAGCTGGTCAATCTTCATATAGTATGATGTACCTAAATATTATTCTTGGTTTTCGACTCTACTGAACGTAGGCTTGACTTAATAAGTATACATTAAGCACTACTCTGCCGAACTAAAACAAAGTTGCAGCAAATGCGGTCAATGAAAGATGGCTATTTCTGATATCCTTTTGACGCAAAAATCAATTATACCATCCCACTGATGGCACCAGAATTATTGAGCTCTTAAATATCTCACGTTCTGCAACCAACGCATTACTTATACTCCAGGCTTCAACGGACAGTATGTAGGAGGAGCCGTGTGCTTGTCTGAGTCCAAGTCGGTTGCCAACGTAGGATGGAGACATTCAAAACGAGCCGGCTGATGTGACAAGATAGTTTATCAGAAGAGCTCAAACCATCAATCATTCGACGTAACCAGCAGCCATTTAAAGTGCCATTTCCTCTTGGAAGATGAAATCGACCAGGAAGATTTCTATTTCAGGATAGTTTCTCGATGGGTGTGTTTCACTGAAAAACTGCCCTTTTTCGACACCGGTGCCTTTTCTTGAAAAGTGCCTTTTTAGAGTTGTAGGTAAGAGCAAGATATATCGCAAGATATATTGGGAAGTGGCTTGTATTTAAAGTGGGGAAGTATCCAGCTGAAGTAAAAATGTTTCCAGATGAATGAACTCCAATAAATATCAGAATAACCCACCTGGAAACTGATGCTATGTTGATGGCTACCATTGGCATTTGGAGTAATTGCATGTTTACCAGTTCGAGAGAAGCGTGAACACCTCCATACTTTCGGACCGCATCTTGGTTCGGAAGAGAACAGTGGCGATCCGTTTTTCGCTGAACTGACGAGCTGGTGAGCCGTTTCTGACTGCGTGGTTGAGCAAGGAATGACCAGTTGTGTATCCATGGATTGACCACATTCCTCATTAGCCCGATCAATGTCTTCGTCACCTCGTTTATCGGTGGCCGTTTGGCTAGCTTCTGTTTGTCCGTCTCTTGGAGGTCCACTGCAGTCGTTAGTAGTGATGTGGACGAACAGATCTCGGACCTGCAGGAGATACTGGCTTGATCAACTACGCGAAGTATTATGCATAATAACCTAACTGCCCTGGGGGCAACTAGCTATATCTAGATTGTAGTGTGTGCATGGTTCCCGAACGTTTGTGCTCTAGAAAGCAGGTAAATTACCAGTAAAGATAGTGAAGTAATTTATTCGTAAAGGCACCATACTCTTCTTGACACAGCGCGATTATTCGGGTTAGTCCTCTTCATAATGGGGGAGGCTTGGGTTTAGGATTAATTTTTAGTTGGGTCACCAGAGATGCCTTACTGAGAGTTCTCCTCGGGTCATGTGAGAGGACTCCATCAGTGGACAGTAGTACGCACTGACTGCTTCGTGGTAAAGGAAATCTGGTATACCGTGACGCTGGTAACTAAATTTTTCGGCTTGTTGACTGCAGGGCTTCCTCAATAAAGCTGATGACATGAAATATCAGTTCACTTTTTCCTCGAAAATAGCAACTGTTTATTGATCTGCAACTTAATCTGGTGTAAACGGGAAACCCAACTGAATACATTTTTATGAGGTGTCAGTTGGCAGTGTTGCACAAGAGTCATTTCATTTTTCGGTTTAGACGACATGCAAGCAATTGAAGTAAATTTGTTGGCATAACACTACCTGTGGAGTGGATGAAAACGTATCGACAACTCACTACAGGTTTTGCTCTTTTATGGGCTTGCTAGGCAAATTTAATTCTCGAGCTTCCACAATCTAGTTTCCTACTTAAGTAGGCGGTAAACTGGCTACTTTTTTTAAATTGTGGTTCGGGTGATATACAGTTTAATCTTCAGACAACATTAAGTCTATATGAAAATGTGTACATGATTCCAGTTAGCCATCTAGTTCTAGAATGCGGATCTCGCCTGTTGAACGGCTCTCAACCCATTTTCCTAGTGAAGCAGTAAACTCCCGCCGATAGTGTCCTCTAATTTATTATCATTTGCATATATTTCCTCCCTCGCAAAGGTATGTTACCCAAAAAGGTCGTTTTGCATTCTTACTAGTAACCTAAATCGATTCAGCTGTTTCCTTCTCATGTCTTTTGAGTTCGGTACTATTGCACAACTCTCCACACGACTCGCTTCTCAGTCTGACCGTATTTATCAAAACAGTGATATAGTTACGACACAGACGCACCTATTTTGAACAGTCTGAGTATCGGTTTATTACAACCAATTCCAGAGATCTGTAGCCGAAGACGAGGACAACTTTTTACAAGAAACGTTTGAAGGTTGAACAAACAAAATGATTTTTGTCTATCAGGCCGAAAATAATGGGCTTTTATCGGATTTGTAGTTTGAGAGAGTAAGAAAAGGTGTGAGTACTTGCTGGATTTACCGAGCTCCTGGTTTGTAAGAGAACGCAAAATGACTTAAAGATTACACGTCTCCAGATTTGCTGGGAGTGGGTGTGATTCGGAATGTACACGAAAGTGTCTTGATGTTCTGAGTGGAGTGGATGATTTGGATGACTTGCTCAACTACGCCAACGTGGCTTGAAGCAGCGCACTGACAAGAAGTTGAACCGTTCTATTCCAGCATGCTTAACATGCTACAGATAACATATTTACCAACAGTCCTTCGTTTTCATAAAAACTGAATCCCTAATATTTGCTACGAATATCGCTGACACTCTAACCAATTACCACTATATAGAAAGTGTCATACTATTTTCAATATATACGTAGCACATTGTCCGTTCAAAGAAAAGATATTATTTGATAACACCGCTCCCAATGAACTGGAATAGACACGCGGCAAATACCGATATACATGAAACTAGCCATGGTGTTGCGTCAGATAGATCCAACAGAATACTGCACACACTATTAATCCTTAGTACGCACAAGTCGCACGTCTCGTCACAAAAACCCGAGTGTCACCCAGTTCCATCAAGCAATAACACATTGGTCACCTGCCGCAAGCGCATTTAACGCTGCTCCACCATTCATCGTTCAGCAGGTCAGGAACGCTATGGATCACACGGAGACACGACGAACTTCACTGAAAAGAATGCATTCTGAAGGCAGTGGAGAGGGTCGTGCAGGGCATTCAGAGATTTCACATGCAGCACCACAGTATTCGCACACTTACCATTTCAAGTGAAAGAAAACCAGAGTAAGCCACATTCGTTGCGAAATCATTAAGCGTCATTGTTGGAAAGCGAACCAGGGGGAGGAACCTTGCAGCAACCTGAGCTCGATTCANTCAGCAGGTCAGGAACGCTATGGATCACATGGAGACACGACGAACTTCACTGAAAAGAATGCATTCTGAAGGCAGTGGAGGGGGTCGTGCAGGGCATTCAGAGATTTCACATGCAGCACCACAGTATTCGCACACTTACCATTTCAAGTGAAAGAAAACCAGAGTAAGCCACATTCGTTGCGAAATCATTAAGCGTCATTGTTGGAAAGCGAACCAGGGGGAGGAACCTTGCAGCAACCTGAGCTCGATTCACTAGAACATCACGAAGGCCTAGCCGAACACATTCAGCCCCAGCCCAGCGTCTTACCGCAGCAAATACCTCTGATTCTTTACAATTCAGTGTGTCCCGCTGAAGCAATGATATAAAGTTAGTAGCATCCATTTCCAAGAGTCCAGGTGAGCTCAGTACATGAGGGGCCTGTTCGAATGAAGAACGATGAAAGGATTAGTTGAGATTTATTTGAGAGAGTACTTCAGTTAATTTGTAATTTATGCGTTCAGTGACAGAAATAGTGTCCTTAAAAGAATTTGCCAGCTAAAACTTACCCCATAGAACAACTGACGCTTTATGTTCGCGAATTTTTAAAGGCATCAGTGAACCGCACTAACCGAAACTATATGTTTCAAACTACAAATACCAATTCTATGGCAAACTCAAATTTACCGGAACGAATTGCAGTTAGCTGACTAATATATGCAAACGATTTCTCAACTAGGTTGAGCTTCACACACGTGTCTCTACTTTTTACTCATCAATTTTTATTTTTGCTTGATATTACTGCTCTGAATGATGTGGTAATAATGCCCCAAAGAGCCAAAATCTATGAAAACTCGGTCCGTCTCTTGGATTTTGGGCCTACTGCGAACCTCAGTAAGCGTGTTGATGGATTGGTGCTCCACTTCACTGGACACATTTCGTCGTGATCACATGACACCGTGCATTAAAAATTGCACCAAAATGACTGATTGCTAGCCACAAAACTTTAATGTTGTATGCAACACAAAAGAGCACACTTCAATTCACATACCAGTACATCGATCACGTGCCAACAACGGCGGGTTAGATCTTCTTCGTCAAAGAAGAGGCTCCTATCAAGCATCAAACATACGTTAGATGCAGTAATGAGTCCCTGGAAAGTGAGGCGATGGAAATCGAAGTTAAAAACAGGGACGTTATCAGCAGTTGAAACAGAACACAGAAACCAAAGAAACCTACCTTGAGATGCTCAACGCAACGTTGCCCAAGTGGTGCAAGCATGTACTTCTTCGCAGCGTACAGTACGTAGAAAACAATATCTGGGTCATCGTTCAACTGTATTTCGTCAGTGTACACGTAATGAAGCATGGTCTCGAAGGCCTGTTGGTGAGCAAATATAGTTGAGGGGGGAAGAACAGTGCGTGATGTGCTGAAATTTGGTGACAGGTATGGGAGAGGTAACGCTACCTAGTCTCAGAATAGTGGTGAGTAAACAGTCAATTCTTGTGATAAGGGAAATGTTACTATTTGAAAACTATTGTTTGTATTGAACATGCAAAAATAGGTTGTACTTTGTGCCGCTAACATGGTCATACTTTGTGAAGGTACTCACGTTCTTGTGAGTTAAACCTCTAGCATATTGTAGGTACAAGTTCGGTAATTTTAAGTTCGATTCTCAGAAAATTTGTACTTGGGCGAATGTGAGCCAAAAGGACCTCTTTCTGTGCAGTTTTGTACTCTGAGACGCCCTGGTAGTTGTGTAGTGGAAGCGAAAGAACTATACGGTCGATCAGGCTTCTGAGATCACACCGGAAGTTATTGGGTCAAGAGCAAACATTGTGATCAACTGCAACCATAAGCGCCTGCAGGTTAAAAGGTGAAAAATGGTGTAAATAATCTGAAAGAGGGCTCAAAGTACTTGGACTTTTGCTTGGACCTCCTGTCAAGCTGGAGCGAGATTTCAGAAGGCAATTTGCAGATAACTTTTTCTTTATCTGGCAGAGATTCGAGAATATTCGCCGAATAATGGAGACCTTGATAAGCTAAAGTACAACACCTTTTTACATAGTATAGTTTACGGTGGCTTGTCTTCATCCAAAAACTCAGCAACGGGATGGTTCTGCACTGATGGGCTTGTGTAGTGCACCAAAAAGTTCCCAAGAGCCCCTGAGTCTGTTTATATTTACTTCAACCATTTTAAGCAATTCAAGTCTGTTCATGTAAATCAGATTCATTATTCGGCGTGACTACTTGACGCATTTCGAGACATACAAACTGTAAGTGGTAAACAACCATCAACGCAGCAAGTAATTCAGATGATATAAGAATAGCTAAGCTTATTTATCTATCATTCCATAAAAACCACTATCTTACCACGATTGATGTACAAAGCGATGGACGGAATAATCTCATTCTCTAGGCTCGTAGTTCTATGTCTACAACTGGATTTCTTTGATTTACGTTTCGTTAATGCATTTTACGATTACTAATACCATGAATAATTCAAGCCTGTATTTTCACAAGTTTGGACAGTAATGTGACAATATGAAGGCGTCAAAATCTAGGTTGGAGCATATAAGCATGCGAAAATGTATGATAGACGTTATTCGTGTTTCCAAAGTTCAACAGTTTTTATTTCTAACAGGGTTTGTGGAATGTCCACAACAGAAGTAGTCACTTCCAGCATATAGTAACCATATTTTTGTTGAATTTGTTTGATTGCGTGTAATTGTGCGTCGGTCATTTGCTCCTTGGGTTTTTAGGTACCACATTTGTCGGGAAATTATTTAGGTTAAAATTTGGTGGATCCATGTGTTCTCGCCAATCCTCCGTTTGTTCAAATGGTTTGTAATAGTTTTGTAATAAGCATCTGTTCGATATCTTCTGGACCGTCATTTACCGACCTCTGGTTAAAAAACGAAAGACGGATATTGTGAGCTTCGCTTGGAACAGCGTGGGAGAACAAGCTTACCATAAACGGATGAGAAAACACAGTCAACAATTAAAACGCTGTCGTATATCTGGCTGTCCGTCCCGTTTGTTCACCATTATTACCAAACATTTCCAAAATTAAGCAACTACAGCTAGCTTGTTGTCGATAGGGAGTTGGTAGCTCAGGTTCTGTTCACTGAGTTGGGCAAACTGGTTGCACACGTTTCGTCACCAACCGAGGTGATATCATCATTGCGTAGTAGTGATGTAGTAGTTTTTGTGACAAAGATTCCACACCTCCAAAACTGTCTCGTCAATAGAGGTGTTTTCTAGTATGGATGTTTCAATTTAACACCACACTTTACCGACAAGTCGATGTAGTCGCCATTAGTTCTCCTCTCGGTCCCTTGTTGAGATACGTTTTTATGGGCAAACTGGAGCTTGGTCGATTGAATGCGGAGACTGGACTTACGCACTTTTAGCGAAGGTACGTAGATGATATTTCTATGGTAGTATCAAACCGTTCCGAAATGGATGCTCTCCTGACCAACTTCAACCAAGCATATCCCTCTATTAAATTCACTTTTGAAAATAAAAGTGACAACGCTTTCCACTTCTTGGACGTTAAGTTTGTCAGACTTTCCACGAGTTCAATTCAGAGGTCTGCCTAGAGAAAGCCCACGTGAACAGAACAGCACGCAAACTTCCTGAGTTTTGTGCCACTGAGGCGAAAGCGAACCCTGATTCAAACTTTAACGAGACGAGCAAAACGTATTTGCTCCGCTGCTACACTGGACCCCGAACTGCAGCACATTGCTAACGTGCTCCGAGCCAATGGTTACCCGGAGAGATTAATAACCAAGAATATGTCAGACCGCCCTATCCAACCGCCCTTCACGACCGTTGGAACGAAGCTAGTATACTTGAGTTCGCCGTATTAAGAGGATCTGCTGGTGGACATAGTCAATCGCCGCTTGTTTCAATCCCTACTACGCACGTTTTCGGCCGGAACCCTGCGGTCTTGGTTTACAACAAACCCTCTGCTCAACTTAAACCTCAAAGACAACATGCCAGTCCTCACTCAATGGTTGTGTATTCTTTCTCCTGCTGTTGTTCAGCGGGGTACGTTGGGCGCACGACATGGCAACTTTCTAAGAGAATACGCGAGCCCCTCTCTTACAGGAATATCGCTAACTTCAACAGTTCAGCCAGGAGCTCAATTGTATCCCACCTAATTGACACCCGGCACGTGGTCATGCCAAATGAATCATTTTAAATCATTTACCGTGTGCCTAATAGACTGCCAGTATCTATTCAACGGCGTGGCTTGACTACAGCCGAGGTAGTCGCTAGATGCCTGCGAAAACGGTACTGTGCTGTCAAAAACGTTTCGTACGAACGGTGAGTCTGCCTTGGTCATGTGACACGAATCAACCGACCAAGTCACTCAACAGCCCCCTTGACTGTCTCGAAGCATCCGACTAGATGCGACATGGGGGAGGGACATAGACAACCAATTGTTCGTGTCTCCACGTCTTGCATCTCAATAACTAATCTTCACAGCACATTTCATTTTGCGCTCCTATTTTAACAATTATATATGTACTGACCTGATGACGAGATCCCGAAAACATTGATGTTCGTCACTGTGTTCTTTTTCAAACCATGGGGATATTTAAGCAGAGATGTTTCTCTTGGAGTGTCTCTTCAAGGGATAAATAACCAGGCTAACAGGCTGCTCAAATCCTACCATCATTGAACAACGTTAGAATGTGCTGCGACTTTAGCGAAATACACTCATTCCGATTTGGTTTTTACGGGAGACTCACCTGGAACCCAGCTGAATCTCTTGTTTATGATGTTTCTCCTATTCCCTCGGGCTAATCAGGATACATTTGGTTGGTTTATTTGGACGGAACAATTTTGTGACAGAGGTAATAGATACGATTACAAGGTCTGTCATAGCAAAGGTCAATGAACTCACCTTTGGGTGTATATCCGGAACGCGATACTCCGTGTGCTGTTCAGAAGTGCGTGAATGCATTTCCGCTACCGGACCATAAAACATGGCCTCAAATACAGGTGATGCGGTGGCGAGAATGAGACGATGGGCTGCGAAACGTTTGCACGGTGTATGTTGCATGGCGGAAACCCGGTGTGACCGATCACTTGGTGATTCCACTGAACCAGATTTCGTGGTGGTGGTGTTATCTAGAGCCGATTCCTCATGGTTAGAAGATTCACCCACAGAGTTACACGACTGGACACGAACTTGGTGAATAAATTCACTGTCAGTTTCTGAGAGACCTCTGAGTGATTTATTCTCAGGACATGACGTTGAGAGAGGTTGGTCGTGGGATGCGATAAGAGCCCGTCCAGTGACACTCCGCGATTGTTGTGCCTCATTGGTGATATCGTCTAAGTCGGAATTAAGATCCAGCTCTTCATGATTTTCCTGACCATCCTCAAGTGAGTTGTAACTGCAAATCAGGTTCGACACTGTATGTTCAGGGTCACTGATACCCATACCATTTGACCTCTCAGGGGGTGAACTAGACTGCTCGTGTTGTAATTGGGGTATCAACTCTGTCCCTCTTGAGGGTCTTGCATACAACTGCATACCTGTTGGGCCACCCGGTGCGCCTGAGTCCAAGGGTGCAAAACTTGGAAACATGGAGTTAGTATCCAAATCACTCGTACCACCAACTACGAACCAAACGTCTGCGAAACGCTCACTTTGAAGTAGTCGGTGCCAAAGAGATTGAGGTCCTGAACAGCCAGTCTACATGAAAAAAGAAATTGTACTGTAACATACCTGATCTCTTGGAAACCATTCTTTAGTGTTCCATTATAAATCTCTATTACGTAGAAGTGATGAGCCTCGAGTGGCGACATAAGTGGTTGCCCCGATTTAAGCGTCAACTCTATGACCCAAAGTAAAAACAAATCACGACATAATCGGTTGTTCTGAAGTGACACCACTTTCAAAGGAACACACTGGTATGTATGACATACTTTAAACTGTACATGGCAACCTTGTCGCCATAAAAGCACCATACGTAGTCCGGAATTTTAAATGACCCAGAAAGCACATTCATCCGGAATGGCTGTACAAATTACCTCGGCTGACTAACAGAGTATTTTCTGGTGGATATGAAAACGAGCTCCAAATGTCGTCAGTTTCACGCCCTTCTGTTCATTGTCTAGTGAGCATTTCGTAAGGCCCCATGCTAAATTCAAGCACACAGATAACAGGGATGCCGGAAACTAGTTGCCTATTAAATCTTACTTGAGATTATGACAATTCCCCTTTCTATTTACCTGTTCCACGCGTGTACTTTTTGTCCACTTGTTCCAGTCATGCGTACCCGAAATTCACCTTGTCACAAAGGCCGCGCCCATGCGTGTGCGTGAACATGCGTCACAGGCTCACCCACCCGTTTTCGTACCCCGTCTGCTGGGCCTGTCCTGACTTGCCCTCTCATGAGGCCCGTATGATTACATGACTGATTGGAATCACGAGACCGGCCGCGGAACGCACGACTGCGACCGACATTACCGAACCAGTATTCCGTTCGCATTCCGTTCTGGGTCGAGGATCCTAACAATGCACTGTGCCAGTCGATGAGAGGCTTGCGCACATTTTGACGCCACGAGTGTGAACATTTGAGGCTTATTGTATATTTTTCTTACTTCTGTGTAAACAATACCTCTAAACAATCGATCTCGGTTCTTCCTTTTGATATTCGGGGACATCAAACGTGGCTCAAAGTTCAGTATCGGGAAACCAACCCTACTTTTCATGACCATTAAAACTAATGAACTGTTTACCCGTCCTCTAAAATGAACTGATGTAGGTCCGTGTGTATCTTGTCGCTTTTAGACGAGAGAGCGTAAAAGGAACCAACTTCTTTTGGATAGAAAATACTTAATGTTGGTGTTAGGCTGTCCGGTTACGGGGGTGACTATGGGATATGTGAATATTTTATACTCACCACTCCCGTTTAAATGGTTTTGCTTCCGTCATGGCACTATTTATCTAGTGGATCCAAGCCAAAGGGAGGGGCATCGGTGAACTCGAGTTTCGCCCTTACAGCAGAGCATGCCCTCGGGATTTGAACTTCGACGTTTGAATCCTGATGTAAGAGGTAAGTGTGTTACCACTAGTTTATCAGCACACACCTGAATTATCACGTTTGAGGAGGGGGAACAATCACATCAGTCGGGCGTGAACACGTTCGCCTGTTCAGACGTTCAGATGCGTCCAGCTTGTGCTGGTTAGATTAGCGGTGACACACTCACCTTGCATCTAAGATGACCTGATTTCGAACCCGGACACGGACAAGAGTATGCACCACTGATGGGCTATAGCAAGCGTGAAACTCGAGTTCAGGGGTTCCCCATTTGGCGTGCACTCACCAGTATGATTTCCCGGGGACAAGATGACTAACTGTCCAAACGAGTGGAATTTGAAGTCTAAGAATACTGCAGCCAGCTGAAACTAATCATTTTCTGGCGATGAGAACATGTTTTCGGTAATAACATGCAGTAAATCTGTGACTGACTGCTGTGACCTGGACAGCTGGCTTCGTCGACGTTCGACAAAGCCAATTTGACTTTTCGTGAATGAACACACTTATAAAAATTTACTGGCACTTTTGAGGAATCAACTGTGTATTATACATAACGATTCATTCATGCTCAACAAAAATCGGTCCGATTTGATCACTATGCTTGTCTAGTTAATTTTACCAGGAGGTCGACTAAAATTCTAGTCCTGAACTATTAACGTTCACGTTCTCATGAGCGTGCAAAATTCTATCAGCTCAGATCCAAAGTCACGCGTCCCTGTTGTAGACCTCAATCACACCAGTGTAACACATTTCGATTGGGCGATACTCGGTGGTGAAGCCCTTTCCAGTCTGTATGTGTAAATTGAAGTGAGCTTCGGGACATTGCCATATTTCTCAGCCGAATTACTTGGTCAAATACCGATTTCCCGCTGAACTTAAATATGAACTTTAAGTAGGTCCATGGGATATTTCGGTGAATTTATGTAGGTTCGGTTCAGGCGTTCCTCACCTTCCACTCTCTGGTCTTTCATTGCTGGATCAACTCAGCTAGTGAGGTGGGGCTCACATTTCTCTCCACACAAGTCCGCCCCCAGGGTGGATGCCCAGATTTTTGCTTGTGCGGTAGTGACACATACGCTTTCCTGAACTGTAAAGGGAGCCAGCAACGTTGCACACGTCTGTGGTTCTAACGAACTGTCTTACACAGATAGCCAAAGTGTAAAACAGCCGAAAGTTCAGAGTTACCTTTAGTTTACTAAGAAACTAAGAAAACACTTCCTAAAATCTACGCAAGGGCTACTACTTGATTAAACACAAATTTAATAGTGATTTTTTGAGAACAATTTCGAATCTTCGTTTAAACGTCGATGTCAAGAGATTTGCTTACGTCCCTCGGAAAAACATGTGAAAAGACACTTGAGTGTCATGATTAGCCGATTTACTCATGATCAGCGACGCTAATCGATAAGGTATAACTTCACGTTAGCAGTAAGAGTTAACTCCGACAAATTTTAGTCTTCCATTATATCATGACTCACCCTCCAATCACCGTCGTGTGGAACATCAACTGCTTCGACCAGGGATGAATCCGAATATTCAGGCGTCCTGCTCCGATCTGAGCTCTCAGAAGGATTCTGTTGTTCCTGACTCTCAGAGTTGTTGAGTATACTTCGAATATCAGGTGTTACCACAGTTGGTACCTGAATGTCCTCTACACTGCTCGCACCACTCGTGCTGCTTTGGACTTCAGATGGCATATTGAATACTCTCTGAACAACCACATTGGGTTGCCTAACCACACGAATTCTGCGGTCCATACTGCGTCCTGATTGGTTGTTAACAGAGGCGTTCGACGCCTGGTTCGTTGTGGCTTCGTTGTTCAGTGGTCTCGAGTGAATGGGGGGAGCACTCCGATATGTGGTAGAGGATCTATGGGAATCGGGTGCCAAATTCAGCGTTACCGGCGGTCGTGCACCAAATCCAGGGGGATCTATCGAATTGACATTGTTTGTTGCGTTATATCCGCGATTTTCAGCCAGGACACGACGCAACCTTAAATTCAATGGCATTCTAGTCTGTGAAGATGTACTGGCTCGAGTTGGGATCGTCATGCCAGTGGGACGCACACTTGATCTGTTTGTACCTAATACTCTTTGATTATTATCACGTGAGGCACTCAGTGGTGCTGGAGGGTTGTTGTGTGTACCTGACTGGCTGGGTAAGGAACTCCTGGAGTTAGGGTTATTCACCATTAGCGGTTGATCGCTGTTTAAATTTAGATTCGTCCTTGGATTCGTGAAGCGTGGTGCAGCTTGAGGTATGTGGCTGTCCGATAGACCACGTTGAACAATACCAAAATCTAAAGAGAATCTCGTTGGATTTGTGTGTGAAAAACGGTTCAGGTAATTGTCACGTTCGATTAATGCGGAATGAGCGGTATCGTAAAGATGATGATCGAGTTGGGGGTAGCTGTCAGCGGAAGGTCCAGGATTGTCCAGCAGCTCCGAATTTCGGGTTGGAGAAGCTTCTCCCAGACTAATCATACTTTCAGTGTTGGCGGTTGGAAGGTTCCTAGCTATAACAAAATACACAAAGGTATGATCAAAAGAAATATCCTCAATAGTGGCAAGCTGTGAAATAAACCTCAGTTTCAAAACCCCAACTGTTAAATCACCGCACTTACAAGACCGGAAATCAGTCATGATATCGCAAATAGATTAGGCAGTAGAGCGCGGTTGATCTAGGTTGGTAAAAGTAAGCAAATGGTCTTCGGGGTACAATATTTGGTGGACTTAGACTACTCTACATCTCATCTATTGCGGAGGGATTAGTCTTCCATTTCGCCTACTTTTTAGTGAACCCGTTGAGCTTTTTGTTCAAGCACCCACCTTCCTGAGAATCAATTTCCTAAATCACATCACTCAAGCGTGAACATGTTCGCCTCTTCAGACTTGGTAAGTCAGGTGCATCCAGGGTGCGTTGGTGGAGCAGCGGCAACACATTCTATTCGTACAGCAGAAATATGGAGTTAGAAATCCCGACAAGGCCAAGGATAGCACTACTGATTCCTCTCCCTTTTGGTGTGAACTCGCCTGAGAAATTTCGGCGGTACGGAGGGAGGGCTGTTCAAACGACAGTGATGTGAAGGCGAGTTTCACAAAATGTTAGCACCAAATCATCCATGCTTAGCAAGGGGCATTTTTTTCTACCCCAGTTCTAGAGCAATAAGTGTAAACACTAGATTAACGGGCGTTCTAATGTACCCTCGGCAGGACCATCCCTGCAGAGCAAACATGTTCGGCCAATCTCACTAATGTGCCTTGTGGGGACGCTTTATTCGGCTCGATTCTATATCAATTCCGGTACCCGGGAATCATAAAGCATCAGCGTCACAAACCGGTTAGAGTTTTCCAGGGCTAGGTTCTTTTATGGACATCCCACCGAATTTTGTCCACGGGTTAAACAATTTCGGCTCTAAACACTAAACAGCCTTTAAGCCTGCTTCATGATAACAACCTCCTCTATTCATGTTGGTGATTGTCCTCATTTTGGATTAGTAATTACCACACAGGTCTACCAGCCAGTGGGAATCCCAATCACTGTTGTGGGAACTGCGGTATAAACATTTGAGTGATGAATCAACCTTATCAAACGAATTACAACAGAAGATATGATTTTGCAACCAACTCGCCTTTACAAAAGAAACGTCGAAAATCTCCAACGATCGATAACCAAAGTCTTTGTCACACTGTATCAGAATTCAACCACTTTACGGGTCATGAGAACAGCACCTGAAGACATCTGACGACAGTATATCATGCGGTGCAGGGAGTGGACCCATCATGCTATCCATGTGTCGTAGTGAAGCATCGAGTTGAACTTAAGGGTCGAGGAAGGATTTGCAGAGATTTGCTGCCGGTAAGATTCGTCAAATTCTACTGATGGAGTTTTTTCTTCAATTTCCAAAGTCTCCTCAGATTTACAGGTACCACAGGTCTGCTTTTTATCAACAGCTGCTCAATAATCCGTCCCACCAATCACTTGGCGGTATCGATCGGTTAACTAAGTCAATTTTAAGTTAAAGCACAAAACTTTCTCGGCCCTTCTGGCTCTGATGAAACAAGAATAGTACCCATTGTCTTGCACAAGTACTATGCTATGCTGAAATCTGCACAAAACCGGAATGAAATACACTTAGTGCCAAGCATACATGTCCGATCCCCAAAGGTTTGAAAATTTGAACTTTTCTGGGACAAGGCCACAAGGCTGGCATGTAGGCCCCTGATTTCCACGGTAAACCAATCTATTGAAGACGAGTACCTTCGTGGACGATAACAGAATTCAGGATCCAGGAAACTACGGCTCATGACACCACATGGCGGCTAATACAGACTAGTAGCAAACAGCTCTGCTAACCTGGTCACCGGGGCCAAACTTGGAGAAAGAATTCACGTCCACACATCCTCGAAGCATAAAATGATATCAGTACTTTTCCAATATAGTTCGTATATTTCGATATTTCGAATATCGTACCAACTGAAGCATAAGACGGTCTCTGTCTAGCGCATTTAGTTGAAGAATATTAGAAAGGAGATTCAGCTGTGATTCAGTCGCGTCTCCCGTGAAAACCAACTTGTTATGAAAATGAGTGTATTCGGTGACTTTTGTACAAGCTGGGCTCAAGTAGAGCATAAAGTTGGCGAAAACTCGGGGACCCTGCCTGCCTGATGATACAGTATACGAACGAAACTGATCTTGGGTTGTCCGAGAGTTTTCAGCAACCTTATGAGTAGATCCTCCATGCACCGAATCTTCTGGAAGAGAAAATCAGTACTAAATTCTCCAAGGCAGAGTACGTTTAACGTAGCCTTTAGCGGTATACCTTTCTCATGCCAAGTTAGATGGCTCATCGGCTATTTGGAGTATTCATCAGACTATGCCAGTTTGAATATCACTTGGAACACTTTATCTCAACAGCGAGTCATCTTTAGATTTTTATCGAGGTACCTTCAGATTCATCCTACGTTGTCTCCCTTAAAAGTTGTAGAAAGGCCAGCAAAAAATCAATCGTTTAGGTCAAATTGTGGCCTGCATGGGCACTAACTTTTCCCCACGGTTATTTCAGCTTTTGTCAACCATTTGAACCAGAAAATCGAGGCCCTACTAGTGAGTGGACCGCATAGTAACACCTTCGAGAAACTCTAGCCTTAGAGACGACCAAGCTCAGACGTTGCAGCAATTTTTATCATAAACCAAATGGGACGTTAACAATTTAAACGAAAAATAAGGCTAATGCAAATAGCACAGGAAACTAGGCAAAAACTGAAGAACCCCAATAACCTCTCACTAATTTATCAAGACTATGCGCTCATGTTCCGAAGATTTCTACGTTCAAAGCACTACACAACATGTTTCAGTCCGCTTGAAATCTCCTGACTTTTCAAATAAGTTTGATTAATTTAATGATGCAAAGTTTGACTCCGATTTTAATTGAACTAAAAGTATACGGAATGAACAAAAAAAAATCAACCGGACTTAACCCAACAAAAACTGCCTCAGTGGTAGATCCGGAGTGACCCTCATCTACCGCTTGCCGGTAGTCAGACCTATCTGTCCCCATACAAAAAAAATTAGTCACTTAGGCGCACCTAACCGCCAAACACTCAGGCACAAGCTTTAATAAAGGGCGAAACACTTCGAATCGTAATCCTACCACAGACATACAAGGTGGCGTGCCTTTGGCCTTGAAAGATTTCATTCCGTTCAGTCGACTGCAGTGTATCCGAGATGCTTGCGGAATGCACCACTCTGTGTACAGGATGTCGAGGGGGGGTTGAGTTTAGACTACTTTCGAAGTAGGTCTCTTCACATGAAACAGCACTTGTGAATAGATACGAGAACTGGAAGAGAATTCGGCTTCGACTTTTTCATATGTTTGCATCGAATTTCACGAAGAGAGTTACACCATATTTTTCCACATGTACTAACGGGCAACTTTTGTCTCCGTTATCGTTAACATTTCTGATAAACGGGGCCAAACTATGAATGCACCGAATATGTTAACTTAGCTCAGAATTGTTGAAAAACCAATGGAAAGTGGACTATCACTAGGCCCTAAAACCGTGTATAACCTTCTGTGGGAACCCATTGAACAAGGGTCGTATCATCATGGATAGGTTTCTTTCATACTGACGGAACACTCTTCGGCAGCTCACAGCTGGTTTTACCCTTCTTCCGTCAAACTGATCTGCTCGCACACCAAGTCGTACGTGAACTCCCAAACGCATCTGTTTACATGCAAACGAATATATGGTAACGGTGGGAGTTAACTGAAGAATACCACAAATAAGATGAGAGTCAGCTGGAATTCAGTTGAGTTGCCCGTGAACACCAACTTGCATATTATGTCCCGTAAAAACGTGGACCGTTCATAATCACATAAAGATGCATTGGAGCCCAAACCAGTAATTGCGTTTTTGCATTTTTTCTGACGTTCAGTGGACAGAACGCTGAGCTACAGGCAATTGGTTCCAAATATCAAGGAAAATATGTGGGTGACCGACTCTACCGCGCTACTGAGAAATGCACAGACCAAATCCACTTAATAAGAGCCTGTTCATGACGATAAAAACAGACCACAACGAACTGTGGCTACAGGTTACGCGCCAGCATCACTGTGGCGGTCAGGGCGCCCGTAATTCGGGGACAGAAAGTTGTCCACTGAGGTGAAACTGTGGTTTGAAAACTTGGCTGATCAGTCGGGCTGGCTGACCTCTTAGTGAGCGGTCACTGCGATACCACAGGATTGGACAGGACAAGCAAAAGGGACTGAGATCGTGGAGAGCGTGTGCACGCGCGCACACATCCACAAAAACCACACATGGGTGGTTCAAGTTCTGGCATGCGCGAAGATCCAGCATTAAAACAGATAAAAGTGGAAGGCACAAGAATGAAAAATGCGGAGTCGAGACTTCGAAGGACTTATTTCCTCAGGTGGTAACCGGTGATCGAGAGAAGATGACCTGTTGTTACTTGGGAAAATATCCAAGATGGTTAACTGTTCACTGAATCGATCCATGTTCAAATCAGTCACATCAATCTTTCAGTGATTTTGGTGTGTGATCTACCCAGTTTACATCATCGTACAGTCTACCTCGGCCGTTAGGTAACATTCAGTTTTTCTCAAACAACACCTGCGTAGAATCATTTTAGGAACCCAGTCACTACTGAGTAATTAGACTACTAACGATGTTAGGGAACCAGTCACTAGTGAGTAACTAGACTACTTACATATTTCGACGTATGTGCTAAATCAAATAGCGTGAGTTCGGTAACCGCTGCGTTTTAGGGTTAACCACGTGGACATCACACCTGAACCACACAAGGCGATCGGGTCCTGCTGCATCTACCTGATGAGCTTCCACCAGAACGAGCTTGGTGGTTGCCTCTTCTAGAACCAACCACTGAAGCGAAGAACTGTACGGAACCTGTTATCAGTAACAAAAGTCTGCCTCAGTCTGTAATACTGGAGATTGCAGTTTCATTTGCACATCATTTATCCTTACGGGTTATGGTCAAACAGACTTCTTTTGACCCACTTTTTTCCAAAACACTTAGCTCAATCAACTTTCGCGTAGCAGAGTGTACACTACCTCTAATTACACTTTCCGAAAAACTATCCGCGAGGATCTCAGGGGTGCAATTTTTTGTAAATGGTGCACAGACTCGAACCCGTGCACTAATATGGAGACCTACAGTATGGTTATCGCGTGTCACTGGTGCCCTTTTTGCCCAGGATTTTTGAGGTTAATCTCTCAAACTCATAGACAGCTAATCTTCACCGGATTAGGGAGTGTAGAGATCATGATTCTGGTTAATTCATTTGGTAATTCCTCGTACTTATCTCAGCGGATTTTAGGCAAACATTACGCATTTACAGGAGGTCACGGCAAGTACTGGAGCAGACGTCATACAAACAGAATTTGATGGCACCAACGAACTCGCAACCATTTTTTGACAGGGACCAGCCAAAACGTGATACACAACGGACGTTCCGATATCGAATGTTAAACACTACTGTAACCGCTGTACGAGTGTACCACTATATTCCACCACATCCCAGACGGTTGCTAAACTGAAAGGTAAACTACAAACACATACGACTCCATAGCCACTAGCATTATCCCGAAACCTCCTTGCGAAATACCCAGGTATTCACAGCGGCGAACTCCATACAATAACGCCACAAATTTTTGGCATATCGGTGTTGTCCACTTGGCTTCTGTGTTTTTTAAAAGAAGAGTTTGGCACCTGGTTTCATTTTAAATGGGGTCTAGATGTGATATCCTTGATGTCTGATGCAAAGGAGCTTGTTTTGTTTGATGATCCTCTGGACCCGAAAAGGACCAAATACTCCCTAATTGAGTTTCACTAGAAATCGATACTATCCTGAAAAATGGTGTCATTCGTTACAGCTTATTCTTTCCTTTGGATTCTGCTAACCTGCAGTATCTTTCTGACCTGAGAATTCCAACTTGCTAACTTCTTAACTTACACTCTTTGACCAAACAATGTGGGATCGCCTGTTGGACGATCATCCATAGCCTTGGACCTAAGTGCAGAACATGCTCAGCCCCTCAGATTCGAACCTTTCTCAACAGGGCATCAGGCGGTTCCAAAAAATGTCAAATACGAATTGACAGCTTGCCCAGTCCTCCGAACAGAGATGGTCAATTCAAAAAGTACAGAATAAAGTCTTTCCTTGAATTACATAGCCTGTAAGCGACTTCCACACAAGCTAGTGAGGACATGGCGTAGCTACCACGAACTAGCTACTACGATATTGTCAGTTCGTCGGGTCATCCAAGCGCAGAACAACGGAAATTCCGTGCTGTGTCAAAAATCACTTATCTGCACTTTGATGAGGGCTGAATATTTTTGCCAAATATTCTATTATCAACAGAGATGTACACGGCTCAGTGTAACTGCATCATGGCAGAATCGCAGTGTGGTGAAGAAATGCCTAGCTTCTCAAGCTTTTGCTTATATCTGCCATCACTTGCACTTTCATTGGATTTATGTGGATGCGAGCTGTTTCATAGCCCATGTGAAGCACAAGAATCGGGTCTACGTCCATTCTTGGATGAAATCAGAGATGACAGATAATTTTCTTATTTGACGTTTTATATTGGTTTAAATGTGTGAGGTATGCGCTTGGGAAGCAATCAGAATAAAGTGAAAAACGGACGGTTATCTAATTGTCAAAGCCGTCTTCTGTTGCTTCTCGATTCTTCGTCTTCCGACGACGTGCGTGTGGTACCATTGATGTGTGTAGGAGTAACCACGTGAACTAGATTGCGTCAGGCTGAGTTTCAGGACGTAGCATTAATCAGTTTAGCACAGAATAGCTGTTTCCCGCTCACTGGAGATTACCAGCGCAGCTCACGCGATAGTCTATTGTGAATATACTTGCAGTTAATTCTGTGGATCATCGATACGTTTCTGGTAGGTAGCCTTGACTGGGCTGATGCGTTTCACCATGTGAACAGGCCCCCAGGTTCATGCAGTCTGCTCTTGATTATTGTCCTGGTTCACAGTAAAATCCACTTTAGAACGATCACACACACAAAACCTAATGCTTTGTTTAACAACAATCCTTGCGATGCATTGATCCATTTTATGTGAGTGCACCTGACACAAACTCAAAAAGTTAGTTTGGCGCATAGTCGACAAAGGCAGCTATTCGCACGTCTCATTGGCTAAGAAATCTGGAGTGACAATTTTCCGTTTGTGAAATTTGATTCCTGTAGTTTCACACAACTATGCGTATGTGTGGATGAGTGCTGTCGATGAATCGTAACGAATGGTAGAATCCACACATGCACACATTCCTCCGTGAGACTATCGATGGTAAAAGATGCCTCCTGACTTTACTCACGATACGAATATGAGGTTGCTCCGCAGAGGTAAGACACGATTAGGCGTTATTTACACACTCCACTGAGTATAGTCCGATGCGATGAATACCTTAGTGACTAAACGTACTTCCTGGTTCTCGCAATTTACTACCGAATAGTGTGGATGAAAACATGAATTACGAGTAAGCGTTAGATGAGAGCTCGACAAGCGTGCTATTGTTTTGTGATTAGAACATACGAGTAATTTCAGGCACTGAGTTTCGTGTGGCTTCAGGATTTGAATACCAAGATCAGGCAACCTGGTCATCTGAATGCTTTAATCTCTCCTATCGGACTTCACTAGGAGAAAGTCATCCTGTGGTTTGCGTAGCCGAAGGCCTTTTCACGAAAGTAACCAAACACACCCTAATTTTGTTCACTAAAATTTATCCATTAGACAGACATCAGATGCATAAGCCTACACAATGACTGTATGGCTCACGTAGCACCGTTTCACTTTAGTTTTTTTTCAATCATGTCGTCATAGCGAAATTTATTTCCAGAAAGTACGAGACCCAAAGGGTTCAACTATTTCATTTAACTTTAATTATCCAACCTTGGGGAATATGATCCTGGGAGGTTGGAAAGTTGAGCAATAAACCTCTGTTCCGGGTATCGTGATAGTTACACATTCTGACCGAAAATGAACCAACTACCCGAGAAGTTTTGACCTCACTCGTAATAAGATGGGATTTGCGAAATATCAATTCGGTTTTGACATAAACGAAGGATTCGGATAGGTGAGTCCCCCGTCAAAAACAAATTGGTGTGCAAATAAGTGCATTTCGCCAATTCCATGCAATCTGGGCCCGGGTAGAACATAATGTTGACGGAAACTGGGGGACTATATCTATCTGATGAAAGGCGGAACCGATCGTGGGCTGTCAGAGTTTTGAACAATCTAATGAGTAGTATATTGCGTCTGAAGTGGGATTTCCCACACTGAAGCCCTCATTCTAACCTTTTAGAGGGAAGATCACGGTGATCAATTTGTTTAGGAACGCAACTGTGATGCCAGGTTTGGCAAGAACAGATTCACTTTGCCATATTTTCACCACATCTGGGTACCAGATTCCAAAAAGAGTAGTGGGAATTTACTGCGTGTGTTTCTGTCGCCGAACAAAGTGCAATATGGCCTTTTCGATTAACTCTGTGGTTGGATTATTTGGCACCTTACAAGTAGCAGCTTTGAGATTATATTCAACTACTAACAGATTTTGACTAACCACTAGAGCTCCTCTGCAACCAGAACGGTGAAACTTCATTCGAAAGATAATGTGAACGATAAGGCGCGCTTGCAGGAGGAGGCAAACATGGGCGAAGGAAAATCCTGCTGTCATATGCACTCGTATTAGTGGGAAGGTGTCGGTAGCTGCGGAACATTGAAGACTGTCGAGGGATACTTATCGGACTTGTTTCTGCCTCGTCCTGTTCCATTATGGGTTGTCCAGACAGAGTATTTTGAGACCACGCTGAAGGTTCCATCGGATACTGAACACATCTAAAATGAAGAGGAAAACCAAAAATTCGACTGAGAACTCTAAAATCATGCAACTATTGTAAGGACTGTAGTACATAACAGAGGGATGGTCATTTTTATGATTAAACCTCCTACCAACAAAGCTGGACTGGTCAGATTTGTCTGAAATGAAATGACCAGGTTGTAGCTATATGGTATTTTAGTAGTGATAAAACAAGTCAGCGGAATATAAGCTCACCAATGGGGTGGGGACAGAAACGATATGTGACCAAGTTGGAAGACCCTTACCCAGCCCAAGGACCTGATCATCAGTGGTAATCAGCGAGCAAAATCTGTTGATGTCCCCGATACGGTTTTGTACAACCAAGCGGACTACTATGGTGTGGTGGTTGCGAACGTGATTACGTATGAACTGATTGTCAGATCAATTCAACGAGCGCTGCCTGATGATAAAGAGGCTTATTAACACAAGGCCATCAGACAACTTAACTTGTACTCCTGAACACACACCTTTATTGTCCGATGGAGCCTTTCAAATAAAACTGAGTTACTCTAATATATCCTACAGCTGATCTGGCAAAGCAGTATGTAAACTATTTGGACTACGTAAAAGTGACAGAAGTAGATGGAAGTAGATTTCAGAGGAAAAACCGATTAGAAAACGGCTGGTGATCTAGCTGACTGGGTCACATAGGTCAGTACTGCTATCCGAGCCGATGGGTCTGCCAGTACATTTCAAAGTAAAACATGGGCTCTCATTGACTTAATGACAGAAGACAGATAATAATCGGATCATTATTAAAATACGTGAAGCAAGTAAGGTCATGCACAACTGTACATAGTATCAGCAGTGCGCGTCGAGAATTTCAAAGAGGGAAGTCAGTTTATGGTCACGGAAGTAGCGGAGCCGAAATTGTCTGTACGCACAATTCCAGTAGCTGTGTTTTGATGAAACGTGGTTCAGTGAATGACAAGACCGTTCGACTGAGATCGTAAAACGGTGTTTTGAGAGCTGCTTCAGAGTCAACCACCCCTTGTGACCAATAGATTAAGCAGTATTCCTGATCTTGATATTCTTGGTCTTGCAATCTTGATGTACCATTGATTTTTTCCGCGGCAGTTCATTCCGCCTAAGTGGACATCGTTACAAATGCAAATGATCTGGTAAATAACGCATGAGCTAGAGTTTTCGGGTACATGGTGCACCCGATGGACTGAATCAACTGCTCTTGTTGTAGAAAGTAAATAGAAGTTAGTAGATGCATGAGTGCATGCACAAGCTGAACACATTTCAAGGCAAACTTGATCACTATGTGATCACCATCGCCAAACAGTCCGCACGCGGATGAAATTCTGGTGCCTATCTGCAATCAGCAACATAATTCGATTGATAAATATGAAATGAGCAGTCCCAACAAATGAAGTCAAACGTTATACTTTGAGCGCTTCTTATCCCATGAGTAAATCAGCCAAACTGTCCTCCACAAAATACGTCTCCTGTCTGCTACTGAGAAAAACTATTTTGTTATGCAGAGTAAATTCAGTGAATGTCCTGAGCTGTGGGCGACAGATAAAAGTTGCAAGTGAGCAAGTGGAACCCCTCGATAGAAGGTTGTGACTTCAGGAATTTTTCAGACTTTTTCCACAACTGCTAAAATTATTACTCGCCTTGAGTTGGAATCTGTATGGGTAAGAAGGAAGTGCAAGCGATATTCATCGCAGACAGCCTTCACTTAATCCCCTGCTAATGAACCTTAGACACTTGGGTGGCGCGTCCTACTGAATAGTCCGGGTAACGAAAGATAGTAAGGAGCATATTTCAGCGAGTATCATAATAATCCCACTGATGCGGGCCAAACATAAGACCATATTGAGGTGACCGACCAGTATCACGGTTTGGTTGCTATCTATCCATGAATTGTGCAACTTCGTTATTCCAAAATGAAATGCAGAACTGGTATCATACCACAGACACGTATTCTATCATCATCAGACTGATGCACGAGTACCATGGATTCCAAAATATTTTACGGTGAATTTGGTCTTCGTGGAGTAGAATTGCACGTGACCATGTTAGAAAAAACACCCAGTAGCGCCATGAAATCAGATTTCAGATTTCAGACCGAACTGAGAAGATAAGATGACATTCTTAATTCGATTAAAGCGCAGCCTGAATACTTTCGGTCCAAATCTGCTTACTTGAAGCGGATGACTTTGTTGGAGCTTTTTGCGACTTGGGATCGTACCGTAATGTTAAAAAAGACAAGTAATTGAGATTCACATATTGTTGTCTTCAGTATCCCATTAATTAATGCGTCTCGTTACTGAAATACGCCAATATCAGTAAGCTACGCTACTTAGCCTGTATCATTTAATTACATATCGAGTGCATCGGAAAAGCCTGTTCAGTAGGGTTTGAGTTTCACACACTAGACATGGGATCGAAACAGAGCTTCATGCCGCATTCTATGCTTACTTCCCTGCGTTATCGATTTCCAAGCCTTTTTTTGTATATCTCTCATGAGGTTCTTTCGCGTCCATATAGGCTATTTTATGTTGGAAGATTCTAGAACATCCACACTGACGGATGACTTGGCTTTTATGCACCGGCAACCTTGCTGTTCCTTTCTTATTCGTAAAGGCTGCCCGAACTGAATACCTTCAACGCCCATTTTCGGATACACATTCAAAAGAGGAACAGTAGAGCCCAAATCCGTAACTAGTCCATCCACATGTTACATCGCCTCTGCAGTACTGTCTCGATAATGCTTGTATCCAGTCAGAGGGGTTCACACCGAAATAATTAGTTAACCGGCTAAGTGACAACTGTTTATTTTGAAAAAAAAAACACTTTATGTTAAAACGCTTCCGTCAGAGAGCTCTCCAACCATTAAGGGTGGTCCATCCCGCAGTTTGACTTTGAATGCATGCTGTCAATTAACCATTCATTCTCATTTGGTGACAAAGATGGTTCCACGATAATAAAAACTGAATCAAAGTAAGTCAGACATATCTAATGGCGACCGGTCAATAGTGGCATGAAACGTACTGACACTTTCCCAGAATATAATAAACTAGGTTTTACTGCTTCCGGAAAGTTTTTTCCTCTAGAATTCTGTCACGCACCCTTTCGAATACCTTTCATTTGGTACCAGCACAATGCGCTCACCTAAATGGTAGATAATTTCACAGCTGGAACGTTAATTCCTAACAGTGCAGTACTCCGGAAATTTCGTGTTTTTCGTCAGTTGACTATGGCATTTGCTTGTGTCAAGTTCGAAATGAATACTTTACAACGCATCCTTGCACTTCGTACCGGTCTATCACAGCACCAAATTATTCACTATCTCACTCCCACACAACTGCAACTAACGAACCAGTTCACTGGTTTAAGCACAGCATCATGCATAGCGAAAAGTTAAACTTTCTAGAAGCTGAGTTTTGTCGAAATCCCTTCCAGTAACCAAAATAAGGAGGATCGAGGTGTCCTTATATAGTTTAGTCTGACTTATTTACTCGCTTGAAGCCACGGGAAGTTGCGCTTATACCAGCTCCTCAAAACAGGTTGTGTGTATGGAATTTTTGCACAAACAACTTGCTTCGCAAATCTTAGTCTCACATCCTTCATCAGTTTGTACCCTAGTTTACCTTACTCGGTTCTTAGCCATCCACATACAACATAAGATACAAAGTAAATATAAGTGCAAGATGTTCATCTAGTGAAGTTTGCGTGCTAAGAATAGGTTGAATCCACTGTAGTCAGTTCCTAATACTCATTCGAATCTTCTGTATTCGTACTAATTAGTTAAAGAAGGCAGCTTGTCCATTCAGTCTCAGATGATTCTGTGAGCAAAACAACAGCCAACAAATTTCTCTTCCAGAGACCAGACTGTGGTCACCTGAAACTAGTTTGAAGCTGTTGCGCAATACATGTCGAATAATTTGTGGTGCTAGCAAGCATTCCAGAAGTCGGCTAATTTTCATAATTTCTGCCTAAATTTCGACTATTTATTTTGATTTTCCATTTCATCGTTTTTTTATTTCTTTTCTGCTGTCAGAGAGACAACATGACCACTCGGTGAACAGCACTGCCAATTAATTTACGTTTTATCCATGTTTCTTGGAATTCAAACCCGGGCGGCATTACCACGACGTAATCAGGCCCAGAAAGGAGGCTAAACTGTGCAACTGATCTCGAAATACCTGCAGAGTATGGTACGGACATTTTTCACATATAAAGCTATCGCATTCGTGTTGACATGTTGAGGTTTTACAGGTAGGTAGTAGAATTCGTGATTGTTAGTGACTAACGGACAGCACTGTACCAAGTGGTTGATAGCCAGTCAGTGAAGGATGAGGGAAAACGCAAATATAGAGATTGTCTGATAGAAGCACAGTTTTAATTTCGACTTTTCTGAGGCTTTTGTGGTATACGAACCACAAAACTCTCGCTCGTGGCATAAGTAAGCCCTATAGGTTTTGTTTGATTACTCAGTGGTCCGCAATATGCTTTCTTCTCGGTTAGAGTGCCATTCGCCATCAATAAATCCGAAAGACCGTAATCAAATCTGCCTCCGCAAGCGGCAAGAAATTAGTACTTCAAACTCCAACAACGGTCAAAAGTCTGCGCTACCTAAGTTGTCAAATGATAGCACGTTTCTGCTGAAACCCCACTCCTTGTCTATCAGCCTAAATTATTGCCATCACTGCTTTGAAGGAGATAATATAGCTTTTCTCTATGGGTAGGGGTTTTGTTGTAAACTGCCAGCTGTTTAGATTATGTCCACATTAACTAGTATTCCGTATTTTACGAGTTCTTCATTCTTTGCCGGATCAACCAACAAAATTCACGCAACAAAAGTCTGGTTTAACAATTTCCTCGAATCGGAAGACACATGAAGGTGGATCTGCGTAATACCAGCATCTATGCAATGCCGCCAATGACGAGCATAGCTGGCATGCTGTGCCAGACTCCCATGTGATTACGCAAATTGTTATACTAAGCAATACATGATCATGAC